TTCTTAAAAAGGCGCAGTTTGGTTTATAGATAATATTTACTGACTAAAAATAATTAACTATTGCCAAAAATGGAGTTTTAGGAAATGTTCAACTTGCAAGTAATTTAAGTAAGGCTAGCTTTGTGAGTGCGTAAATAGGGGAAGGCATTAGAAAAAAAGGATGAAAAATAATAACGCATATAAAACTTGGGTCGATAACTGCCGTGGACAGTCAACCAGGCAATGTCAACCATTGCTGTTAAAGCCGAGTCAGTAATCAGGTGTATCTGAGCGTGCTCCAAGTAGATGTTCAAGGAACTCAATGTCAAAAAAGTCATTCACGAGCTTAATGAGAAAAGACTCGAAGATAAAGAAAATAGTGAAAGTTCAAAGCGAGGTTTCAGCAGCCATCCTGAGTGGAGGCTATTTATTTAAAGAAAATAAACAAACCTCACGTATTGAGACGAACAGTATTTTATAATCAATGAGAATATTAGAGGATTAGGAATACTCATTGATCTCAGTTTACCTGCCTAATGAAAACAGCTTGACTCGTAATGGACAAATGGTATAAAATGAGTGATCTTTGTTGAGTCATTAGCCGAAGGCAGGTGGTCACTCTCATTTGTTCTAGGAGCCAGGCATTCGTTAATAAACTGCAGATTTTTTCAAAGACTAGTTCCAAACATCATTAACTAACTTAGTGATAAACATATCTGGTATCCTAGTGGCCAGGCTCTCAATTCTTTGAGTCCTATATTATCCCATGTCATCACTCCGTAAACGCGCATGGGTTAGAATCGTAAGATAAATTTCCCTCCTTCTCCACCGCCCCAACGACATAGTGCGAGTTAATTAAAATAATTTATTTAAAATGTTACTTTATATTACTGACAAAATACGTAGCAACCGCGCATCTAGGGTCAATTTGCGTGAGAGTTGGATGTAATGGACTAACTGTATGCTTGTCCTTTTTATTGAGTTGCTGGCTATTGGTCGAAGTTAATGGACAAACCCGGTTATGGAAATCCAAACGGCGACGCGAATACAAAGTGGTGGGGGCGTAGTCCGTAGCACAATGAGCCCTGGTAAATGGCCTATACCGACCAGTAATTTCCGACGGAAAATCGGTACGATCACCGACGTCAAGATGAAACGCTTGTGACTATTGTAGTTTAACCTAAACCAGAAACAGTGGTCTTAAAAACACGCTCGGCACAACACCAGCTTGCGTAACGCCGATTTGTTAAGATGTGGTTTCTAAATTACATTAACCTTCTAGTTTAAAATAGCTAGCTGACGATAATTTATTCTGAACACTTATGCTTATCAAGAATGATCACCACCAGAGTAAACTTCTAGAAAAACCAATAAACGGTTAATAGGCGCTCAAAACACAGGATGCCATGTCACGCTTACTTCGATAGCCTTAAAAGTCCGAAGATGCAACCAACAGT